ATTTAGTGATTTATACCCTTCTTCGCTTAAAATATTTGTGTACTTAATGACTTCAACTTCTTCACCGAAAAGATTGATGTTGATATCTCCCGAAATTATATGAAAGTCAAATTCTCTTTTTTTAGACTCTTGATATATAGCAGTAAACTGGAAATGAAATCAAAAAATACTAGTAGAAGGAGGTCTGTATATGCATGTAATTAGAAATGATTTATTATTTATTTTTACTTAATTAATCCTATTTTAACAATTTTATGGGAATATTTCAGTGCTTCTTTAATGAGTACAACTGTTCCATCGTTTTTGTTAATACTACTCTCATCTCACTATATAAAACATCATATCCATTTAATTTTATCAAATCTAAGTTTATTATTTGAAATATTTCTGAAAAACATACAATGTCAAAATCTATATTAATATTTTCTAATAGAATACTGAATTCATCAAAACAAACAATATTAAACTCTTTGTTTTGGCAAGGATTTTAAAAATTTCAACCTTGAACTACTTTTTAAAACCTTCTACATTCAAACTCAAACACTCCTAAATTTATTACGTCCTTGCGAAGATGAAATATTATTTTATCTTTTTTGCAGATGAAGAAAAATATATATTTACTTAATATAAAGCGTTAATTAAAATTATAACCCACTGTACAATTTAGAAAGTATCAATATTTTCAAAATTATTTAGTTTACCTCTAGTGGGAACATTACAATATTGTATACACATAAGAAAGACAGCGTAATTTTATTTATAAAAGAATCACTTTGAAAATCCTTTAAAAGCATAAAACTTATTTTTTTAACAGTCAGAAATGTACCTAATTCTTTAAGTTTGTACTGCGTTTTAATTTTCACCAAAATAGTTTAAAAAGTAAGAAGAAATATCTCTAATAAAATATTACAAGTTGATAAAATATATTTGTGAATATTTATATTTATTTCTTTATCAAAATTAAATAATATTTACCTTTTTATTCTAAAAATAGTCCTGTCGTTGGAAATTCGTCATATTTACAAAAACAAGCACACTTTTTATATAGTTAACTTGCTCACAAACACTTGAAAAATCTTTCACTTACTTCTAAGTCAAAAATATTATTTTTATTTTGTAAATATCCTTCTGTGTCAACACTTTTTCTAACACCTAATCACGATACTTTACATTGAGCTCCAGAAAAACACGAACTGGTCCAAATATTATCAGCTAATGGTTCTGTCATAAAACTGCAGCTGGTTAAAAAAACACGGTTTCTAACAGACGTTTTCGCGTGAGAAATTGCCCGTCCCGCGTGAACCGGTCACTATATTTGGATAAAGGCCCGACGTTAAAGGAACACTGGCTGGTTTATGGAAACGCCGCTGAAGGCGGGACTGTGCCCGCAAAAATCGTTACTCTTCGCGCAGGAATCTTGGAATTGGGTGTTGCAAATTTACTGCTGGCAATAATGAAACAGTACAATTTTAATATATGGATGTTGATGGAAATCTAATTATTTTTATTGGGAAATTCAAAGCCCGAAAAATTTCCGATATTCAATATAGTCGGTGGATAATAATTACGGGCCATTTAGAAAATCGGCGTAAAATAAAGCGCGGCTGTGTATTTGAAATCCCGTTGTGTTTTTTTACTACTCATATTACTTTGTATTGTAGTGTAATTACATTTTTAATTCGAAAATGTACTGGGTATTCCAATAAGAGAGTTCGGAAATTCATTGTTGTTTTATTTTTCTCCAGATTGTTCAGAAATATTGATATTATGAATGACATTTCTTTGCGTTTCATCAATCAAATAGAGGTCTTGTGTATTGCATCCCGTTAATTAATGAATTATATCCTGGAATATGAACATTTAAGCAAGGCTTTACTAATAATTTTAGTTTAAATTTTAATATTTAAAATTTATTTTGACCAATGAATTAACAAGTGAAACTATACGCTGCTTGAGAGTAACAAGGGTGTATGTTACAAAACGTCAGAATTTCAGTCTTCATTATTACAAGATTCTATCTACCTAGAAGCTTTATTATCGTTATAAAATCAAGGGTGTGGGTATGTCAAAAAATTTTTAAATTTGAGTGACAGGGTTTTATGTACGACATACATTTTTGTTATCAAAAATATATTTTAATTTTAATTTTAGAATATTACACAGTTCTATGTGAAATATAACATCTTGTTATAAATAAAAGTATATTTCTATTTCTTTCAGAAGACCAACTGATGAGAAAAAAATAAATCCTAGTCCTAGACGGTTAGTCACATTGAATAAAAATTTAACTGATATGAAAAAAAATATCGTTGGCTTCATAGAAGGAGAAATAAAGAAACAAAATAAAGACATCCAACTACAAAAAGAGAGCGTAATTCAAGAGGAACCACAGATCCTACAAATTCCCAAAATATCACCAAAGGCGAGGTAAACGAAAATCAAGGAATTCAGTGTCAAGATAATTTGGTTCAAGAAGGAGTGCATGAAATTACCCAAGATAATGCAAACGGAAATGAAGAAATTCAATGTAAAGATAAATTAGTTCAAGAAGAAGTTCATGAAACGGCAGGGGAAGAAAAAATCATCCAGGGCGATGTAAACAGAAATGAAGGAATTCAGTACCAAGAAAATTTAGAGGACCAACTTAAACGAAAAAACGTCTCGCGTAAAAGATCTAGAAATCCCGAAAATTGGGACTGCAATATACGAAAGAAAAAATTCGATAGTGGGCTTAAGTATATATCGACAAGAAAAAAGTGAGACCTGCAAAACAAATAATAACTAAAAAAAAGACTGCAAGGAGAAATGTATTTAAAAATATGGCAGAAAGATAAGCGAAGAAGATAGAAAACAAATATTTGCTGAATATTATAAGCTAGACACTAAGGAAAAAAGAATGTTTATTTTAAGTACAACAGAAACGAGTAATCCAGAGCGGATATTAAAAGGAAAAAAATTTGAAAATTCCTAGAAAGCAAATACTTACAGGTACTTTTTCATGTTAGATAATAACAGAGTTCAGGTGTGCAAAATATTTTATTGTGGAACATTAGGCATTAGCCAAAAACCTATATATACTGTGATGTTTGTTTACTTTAAAACAATAGTTTATTTATTAATAATTTATTTAAATATCTATTTATTTTATAACACTACTATTTTAATTTATATATATTTTGAATGTCTTTGAATCGTTCACTATTTATGTTCACCACTGTCTATCTACTAATTACTATTTATCTTCACTGTCTATATAATAACTAACTCTGATGGGTCCTCCACCAATATTTATATACAAATTTAAAAAATTGGCGAATGTTCTAGTAAGTTCACATATTCTCTCCAATACACTAGAAACATTATCTCGTTCTTTCTCGAACATCATCGAAAGCACCTCCACCATAGTCATCCCATAGGTTTGGTCTTAAGGGGTTTAATAATGTATAATTAGCGGAAAAGTTGAGCCTCAAAGGCCAAATAATACAGAGAGGGACTTGGAGTATTAGAGCATGACTGAATAATGAAATGGCTCACATTACATTGCCCCCTCCTTAAGAGATAGTTCCTCCTCGAACTTTTATGAAACTAAAATTGAATGGTTGTATCTGCAACTGAACCCTCTTTTACAATTTCCCGTTGCATGGAAGTAACAAGGAACTGTCTTAGCTGTAACCTGGGCATTGGGCGAATGGCTGCAGACCAATATTTGGACTCCGGTATCTTGAAAGATTATTTCCACCATGTTCCTAATGATCCTCCAATCCAGCTGATTTCCTTCTATCTTTCGCATTGTTAGTTTTTATACATTGGACTCCCGTACGTACTCCCTTAGACTAAGTAATGCTTCCCATACATCCTGATAGATGGATCGATCTCGGAAGGTGTTCTTTGTTATTAAATAGAAAAGATAGCGCGACCCGTCTTGAAGTTTCAAGGCTTTTCCAGGGGCTGCTAACTGACATTGAAGTTCTACCAATCGACCAAACTTCTTACGGAACACATATGCCAGTCCTCGCGCGTCGTTGATGCTGGCGGAAGTACTATGGACCAGCGGAAGCAGAGCGAGAGCAGATCTTGTTGTTGCTCGGTCGTAACACCATATCTGGCTTTTCCAGTACCTCCATATGCACCCATAAACTCTTCAAAGACAAGGTCTGGTGTTTCTTGAAGTTGTTTTACTTTTACTTCGTGGTCACCCTCAAATGGCGCCAGCCTGTTTTGATGCACTACCTACGGTTTACCGTTTGGGATCTTACTTATACGGTAAATCACATCATTTATTTTATTCTTGATGAGGTACGGACCTTCCCAATACCTTTAAAGCATCGGAGAATAACCCCTTTTGTCTTTTTAGGTTATGGAACCAGACTTTGTCGCCTTCTTTGAAACATCCCTCCGTTGCTTGGGTATCGTATCGCTTCTTCATTCTGTCGCTGACGATTTGGAGATGCGAGTGAACTTATTCATGTATGTCGTCCATTCTTCTTCGTAACTGGATCATATAATCTTCACCACCTACATCTTCTCGAGGTCGGCATCCAAACTCAAGGTCGCACGGTAGTCTCATCCAAACAAGACCTTTGCTGGTTTTTGGCCTTGTGATTCATTGTCAGTAGATCTATAAGCCATTGCAAAGAGTGAAAGATACTGATCCCAATCTCGCTGATGGTTTGAAACCACTTTTGATAGATATTTGCCAATGGTCTTCCATCGGATTGTGAGTGCAATGCTGTGGTTCTGGTTTTCTTCATGCCTAGTCTGTCACAGATTCCACGGAAAAGTTGACTTTCAAAATTTCTGCCTTGGTCACTGTGGATTTCCAAGGGCACTCCAAATCGACAGATAAACTCTTTTATCAATATGGTCGGTCCGGATTCAAAATTTGCTAATGTGCTAATTTTCTAATGTCTCTCGAGGAACGACCGAAATTCATCTTGGCTGCATTCTGCACGTACCTGCCTAATTCTTTTTCCTGCTCCACAGAAAACACTTTGTTGAGCCTAGTATCCAACAGGTGCCTGCTCATTATTTCTTAAAGAGTTTACGTAACGATGCAAAGAGACGTGACAAATTCCATATTGTCTTGAAGCAGTTCTTACAGAAACATGGTCATTTAATAATTTATTTGCAGCCTCCTCGTAAGTTTCTTGCGAAATACTGCCCCTATTCGTGTTCCTCACTCTTGGTTTCATATTGCCTAGAATAAAAAAATTGCAAGAATTTACATAAAATTTTTCATTGGTGTCGGTTGTAATATGTGGTTATGTTACAACTGACACATCAATTGAATGTTCGTCAACAAACCAACTAACCTTAAAATTTAGATGTTCTAAATCATTGATTTATTACACAATTTCATGCTAATTTGAATGGTCTAACTAAATTAGACTAGATATTCACAAAAGAATCTAAAAATGAAAACTTACTTTATGTAGGAAAAACAACATTTTCTTTAATTTCACGTCCACTTGTTCGAGTTTTACAAAATATTGAGTAGCGCCAGATGTAACGTGTGTACAAGTCATTCGCGCTTAACATCTTAGATGGCGGTTGTAGATCGGATGTAAGAAACAACATATATTACAAGCGTCACCTATCTCCCCTTCCGATTCAACAAAACGACACTAACAAAAGTAATATATGTTTGTTTTCAATATTCGTCCATCTCTCTGTAACACCACTGGCCAACGTTTTAAAAAAATTAATTTTAGTTAAAAATCCTATAAGAACTAAAAAAACGCTCTTATTTTCTTTGCATTGACCGTACATACGCGTAATATAAATTTTTTTCTAGAGAACAAAGATGTCTAGGTTCGAATCCCGACGACGACAGGCTTCTTTCAAAACTCACCTTTGTGGTTCAAGAATAGTATTTTTTAAATTTGTTTTCGAATTTTAAAATTAATCTCTTTATATTATTATACATTTTTTCACCTAATAGAAAATGTTAACGAGAGGAACATGTAAATTTTGTATCTACGCACACCCATGCATATCGAAAATCTAATTATTTTAATTGCAAAATTCAAAAAATTACGGATATTCAATATTGTCGGTAAATAATTACGATTTATTTGGAAATTTCGAATGAAATAAACCAACGTATTATATTTTAAATCCCTTTGAATATTTTAATGTATCATATTACTGTAATTACAATTCTAAATTGAAACAAAACAAAAAATGTGGATATATTTAAAATTGTAAAGCAATTATTAAACTTATATTCAAAAACTATACCTATAACTTTAAGTTTTTATGATTTCTACAAAACAAAAAGAAATAAACAATTACTATGATTAAAAATGAGAATTGTTTCATAAATCAATCAAATCCAACCATAAAACATAAATATGAGTAGCTATACATGATTAGAGCTGGAACGCTTAACCGAGAGTGTAGGTTTCTAATTTCAATCAGCCCTGGATTTTTTTGAATACTAATTATTGACTAGAAATTAATTTTCACGCTTAGGTAAGATTCCTCACTCAAAAAAACACTGGGTTTTTCCTTACTAATAATAATTCTAGAGCAATATTAGTTAACCAAACATCTGTGAAATACCAGTCCAAAAAATTAGGTGTATCGTAGAGCAAAACTTTATTAAAATTCTTACAAATTAAAAAATCTGACATTCATGTATACAGTGCTTTTCAGATAAAAGTATCCACCTTAAGTAACTTTTGAAGGACTGATTATTACAAAAAACAAAAAAATACGTCAATTAATATTCGAAGGGGGAGATATCGTGCCATATTTAAGTTTGCTAAAAAAGTCACCCTTTCACCCCTACTATCATCCCTTCAATTTTTTTAAATGGCTTGCCCCATTTTTTTATCCATTTTTGGATTGCTCTCGTTTAACTAATTTCAAAAATGTATAAAACATGGGGATTAAAGTAATTAGTTTACGATCTACAGAATTTTAAATTAAAATAAAATTGAATTGTGCAAAACTTTTATTTTAATGATTTTGTCACAAGCGTTTCCAATGACAAAACGAATATTTCATTTTCAAAATTTATTATAAAAATTGTTGAAAATGTCCACCATTTACTTCCATACAATGTTATAACCTAGATTGAGGTGATAAATCCGGTGATCTAGGTGGCCACTCCATCATCGAGCCTCTTCTACCTATCCAACGATTGGGGAAAGTTTCATTTAAAAATTGTCGTACTGGCAAAGCAAAATGTGGAGGCGCTCCATACTGTTGAAAGACAAGCAAATCTTCAGAAAGATTATGATCATTTTCTATTATTGTTGTAATACGTGGATCAATTACTTCTCTCAATAACTCAAGATATGACTCTCCATTTAAGTTTCCGTCTAAAAAGAAAGGTCCGACTATGTGGTCACCATACATTTAACTTTTGAGGATTCTGTGTGTGGTATTCAAGCACAACATGTGGATCACTCTCAGCCCAATATCTGCAATTATGTCTATTAACTAAACCATTAACTGAAAATGTGCATTCATCCGAAAAACAAAGGTTGTGCAACAAATGTGGATTGTCAGTCAAGCGCTGGCTCAATAGTTCACAAAATTTAAGACGACGATCAAAATCATCTTCATATAACTCTTGAACCAATTTAATTTTGTATGGATGGTACTTATGCTTGTGTAATATTCGATAAACTGTGGAAGATGAAACACCTACTTCTCTGCTTATTGTTGTCAGTGACTGTGCTTGTTGATTTTCAAGACTTACTTGTCCTAAAACTGCGACTTCAATTGCTTCGTTATTTACGAGTTCCAGTCGGTTATGTTTTTTATTGCCAACTGACCCGGTTGATGTAAATTTATGCATAAGATCAATTACATACTTATGAGTTGCATGACCTCCTTGGTGTGTTTCGTTGAAAATTCTAGCAGCAGCTCGTGCAGAACTGTTATTTTTGTAGTATAAACCAACAAGTTCAATTTTTTCTTGTAAACTGTAAACCATTTTCAAATCAAATAAATAACCTCAACAAATCAATGAGCACATGTATCAAAATACACTATAAAAGTAATTTAAATTCATTTTTCAAATCTCCAATACCTTTACCATGTATCATAAAAAACTTCAACAAGTTTTTAGCGGTACGATTAAGGTATAATGTATTCTAAATCCAATTTTGCTGCAGTCAGTAAGGTGAGATGTAAAAATTTGTCACTCAAATAATGGAACCCTATAGATCATAAACTAATTATTTTAAACCCCATGTTTTATACATTTTTGAAATCAGTTAAACGAGAACAATCCAAAAATTGATAAAAAAAATGGGGGAAGCCATTTAAAAAAATTGAAGGGATGATAGTAGGCGTGAAAGGGTGACTTTTTCAGCAAACTTAAATATGGCACGATATCTCCCCCTTCGAATATTAATTGACGTATTTTTTTGTTTTTTGTAATAATCAGTCCTTCAAAAGTTACTTAAGGTGGATACTTTTATCTGAAAAGCACTGTATATAATTCAATTGACCATCAATCAATCTTTTTTTAAAACAAAACTATCAAAAAATATATAAACAAGATACTACTTAGATACTATAATATCATGTACAGGATGTTACAACATCCTATTTCCAAAGCCAATTTAATTACAGCTGTAAAAAGTAGATCAACACATCACACCTTATATTACTAGGTATTTTTGTATTTTAAATTTGATATATGTGCTGTGTTTAAGTCTACAGCTTTTCATAACTTAAACAAGTCATAATTATGGTAATTTAAGATAGTAGATAAACGTCCAGTACAGCAGAGTTCACTCTTAGAGCAATATGCTGTAAAAATTCACTGAAGTATTTATACAATAAAGTCAGATCAAATCAGATCATGATGCTACTTTTATTTGCCTATTCTGTTCAGTGAGACTCTAAATATACTATTGATAAGAGATTCGAGGTTGTATTTGCAGGCTATATCCCTGTACCCCATTACCGACCGCGACCAAAAACTATCTGCGCGAGTGCCACTACCGCCCGCGCAGGGTTTACTTATTTTTGGAATATCCCACTACCGACCACGAGATTTTATCACATAATAAATATGATGTAGTTCAGAAAAGAACTGATTTTGTTTAAGTAATTTACATTTTAATAATTATTGATAAGGAATATTGCTGCTTGATGCTAACGTATTAATGCCCATTTTACTTGCAAATCCAATAATTCTTTCAATAGAACCATCATCAAATACTAGAAATTCTTCATTTATGTGAATAGAAATCACAAGATCTTCATGCGTTTTTGGTAGTTGTGGTATTCCCAAAGATTTATTTCGTTGTCAGTGTAAGAATGATTTTATACTTTCAGCGTGCCCGCATTTTGCGGATTTAAAAGATGTTGTGTTAATACTAAAGTCTTAACATTGTGGATAAAAGTTCCGAATATTTAGAGTTTTTATATTTACTTACTTCAGTTAGAGCCCCTTTGTGGCCAATCACCATATAAGGTGAGTTTTTAAGAATAATCTCTAAAAAAAGAATATTATTAAACTTTTTATCGTCCTAATTTTGGCAATATATTTTTAAGCCTCTTATGCAGACTTTCACTTTTACTCTTATGCTGATTTTTAATCTCATTTCCATTCAAATTTTAATTTGAAGTTTCATTTTTGATTTTACTATATCTAGTCTGGAACCCGTAGGTTCCTAGACACCAAATTACTTAAAAACACCAAATAAAGCTAGTGGAGGAATCCAACCAGTCCATCTCTTTGAGTTTAAAACAACTGGAGACTCAACTCATGGTTGACAGCCAGAAGACCTGGAAAAACAGCTAACAATAATATTTAAATACTAACCTTATTTATACCTAATCATTTTTTTATGCATTTGTCTTTTCACCCGATTGGTGATGTTCATATACTATTTGCTTTGATTTTATAAAATTTATTGTACCAATTAATCTAATTTTAATAATATTATTGACTATTTATTTCTAGAAGTAAACTACATCTTACCGTAGGTTGTTACAGCAATTACTATCACAAACAAGCCCTTCGAGCCTTTAAATCTTCAGATTATCTTCCATTTGTGATTGCTTTTCAAACTATCTAAAATCATTTATATTTATATAAAATAATAATTTATTTATATAATTATTCACCTGTTTATGATCCAGTTGTGCTTATTTATCTGAAACCATAAAATATATATCTACTCTCATCACTTAATAGAAAATATTCTGCACTATTTTTGTTTTCTT